CCAAAATTACAATCATGTAAACCAAAATTGGAGAAGATGGAGTACCTTTGTCAGTCTCAAAGCTAGTGAGTGACAGACACAAGATGCAAACTCATCCGATTGTTAAAATCTACACCCTGTTGTCTACCTTCCAAACACCTCGAAACCAGACACTGTTTTATTACCCCTGTTGTTAGGTGCTGCTCTCTCTGTCTTCTGCTCTATCCCAGAGAGGTTTGATTCTCACCTGCTCTAACCTGTTATCCTAAATGCTTATTGATTATTGATTATCTCTACATTCTTTGTAAATGTGTGAGGGAGCAATTTTTTTGAAGTATATTTGTCTTGTATTGTTCTCAATAAGATCTGATCTACTATACATCCTCAAAGGACTTTTATTGTTTCTAACTGGTTAATTTTTTAAAACTAAGTAAGATTACTGATAATTAGAGTACATGCCATTACTTTAAAAAATGTGTTGTCATCAGATCTGGAGAAGAAGAGAAGAAACTTGAGAAAACCCAAGCTAAAATATATAGTTGGCAAAATTTGACCTCTGGATTCTAAGAAGTTCTCCTTATCTGTCCAGGGGTCAAACAATTCTCTTTTCATTGGACAAATCGGATTTTGAAAGGGTCTTTTATAATAGGTATGATCACCTGGTATAACCTTTTCCAGAGTACAGTATTTTTTATCTTCTTTCATCTTTTTCTTTTAATCCATTGTGTCTTTATTTTAAAGTTTGTTTTTGTAATCAACATATAGTTAGAGCTTGCTTTTTAATCCAAGCTCACACTCGCTATCTTTTAATTCCAGTGTTTAGACCATTTACATTTAATGATTAGTGATATGTTTACATTTTAGTTCTTATAGTTCATACTCACTGATATAGTAAAATTGTCCCATATATTTTACCTTACTTTTTACTTTTCTCTGCCTTCTTTTGGATCGAGTAAATTTAATGATTTCTTTTTATCTTATTTGTTGTTATATTGGCTGAATAGAACTTTGTTTTATTATTTTAGTGGTTGTTATAAGGTATATAATATACTTATTTAGCTTATCAGAGTCTACCATTGATTGCTAATGTATCATTTCATGTATAGAATAAGACTTTTGAACTTTATCTGTTATTTCTCCCCTCCTGAACTTTATGATATCATTGTCAAACATTTTATTTATAAATTGGGTAAAAAACTCAAGAGAGCATAGCTATTGCTTTTGTTTCAACAATCTAAACACACCTAAGAAAATAAGAAATATGTCTTAGTTATCCTGCAATTAACATTCATTCTTTTGTATAGACATATTGATCTATCTGGTATTATTTTCTTTTTGCCCAATAATATTCTTTAATGTTTCTTACCATGTGGGTGTGCCACTGTTGAATTCTTTCAGCTTTTTATGTCTGACATCTTTGTTTCACATGCTCTTTTAAAAGACATTTTTACTGGGTATAAAATTTTATTTTTACAAGTCTTTAATTTTTTCTTTTCTAGAAATTTAAAAATGTTTCTTCACTGTATTCTCACTTGTATTGTTTCCAGTGAGAATTATTCTGCCATCTTACTACTTATTTTTCTCTACAAAAATATGTCATTTCTTTCTGGATGTTTTTAAATTTTTCACTTTTTTCCTGATTTTGAAAAATGTGATTACAATAAGCTTTGGATATAGTTTTCTATGCTTGAGATGTGTTGATAGATCTGTGGGGTTATAGTATTCTGAAAATCTGAAAAATGTTCACCCATTAAAGTTGCATAAACCCTTCTCCCTTCTTCAAAGACTTTAGTTACATGATTGTTCAATAGGTGATCTTTTTTTTCTCTTCTTTTTGAACATATGGGATACAGTTGTGACTGCTCTAATTCACTTTTCTGCCAATCTGCATCAGTTGTGTATTGGTCTTGATTGGTAGATTATTTTTCTAATTTTTGGCTGTTTTCCTGGTTCTTTGCATGCCTGATAATCGCTGATTGGATAGTAGGCATCATTAATTTTTTCTTATTTTTGCTACTTTTATATTTCTATAAATGTTTTTGGATTTGGATCTGAAACACAGCTAAGCTACTTGGAATCAGATTTATTTCTTGATTTTATGACTTGTTAGGAAAATCTAAAATAATGCTCCATCTATGGTTAATTATTCTCTACTGAAACAGGGCCTTTCTTAATTCTATACTCAATATCTTATCCCATGTGTTTTTCCAATTTTATTCGTGAGAAATGGCACTATTCCTGACCAGATATGAATATTAGGCACTCTCGCTTTTAATTCTTTCAGTTTGTTCTTTCTTGGCCTGGAGTAGTTTCCTTACACACATGCACTGCTGAAAACTTAGGGGGATCTATATGCAGATCTCGGAGGGGTTTTTGTTTTGTTTTGTTTTTTTTCTCTGTGCAGTCTTGAGCACTCAGCATTGCTTAAGCCAAATCCATGGCTAGATGTTTTTAAACAAAATCTCTTCTCCCAGTTTTCTGTGTAATTCTGAAAAGCATTTTAACTTTGCTGACTTCCTCAATGCGACAAGTCTTCATCCTTACCCCTCAGTTTGTCTTAACTTTTCCTATATGTTCACACCTATTAAGAAAGTGCTATATTACATAAGTATCTATTCACAAATCTGTCTCCCTTGAAGAGAATAGAATTGCTTATTAAATTGCTATATCCTATTACATAGTCGGAGTTAACAGTATGTGTTGTTGGATGAATGAGATGGAAATCTCAATCATGTCTGTACCTCAGAGACAGAAGTGCAGTCCTGGAATCTGGGAGGTAAGTAAGGAAACCGGTGTACCTGGAAGTTTCAAACAAGATACCAGTAAGTCAGGTACCAGATATTGTGACTAAATAATTTCCTCTCCTAGGCTATTTGGTTTTATTTATTGATATTTAGTAATGTCAAATATCAAGTGAATATAATATAGAGTATTTTATCTTTAGTAGTGACAGAGAGTTTTAAAAAATCTTCTCCTTTTACCAAAGTAGACTTCTCTCTTTGACACAGTTGAATTGCATTTTATGTGGACTTGTAAATTACGTAGGAAATTTTCCAAAAGGTCATTGCTCATAAAATAAGCCTTCACTCCAAAAACGAGATTATTATGCACCTGGAGGCTGAGCTAGTGTGAGTAGGAATCTGAGTAGAAATGGGGATTTTATAAGCCCCTCCCTGTCTTCTGACCAAGGCTCAGACTCTTTCTTTATCACCTCTAGAGAACAGTTGGTCTTTCTCTCCAATAATAATAAGGGCCATAATTTTATTTCTTCAAATTTTTTATTTTTCAGAAGGCTCTGAAATTTTTGCTAAAAATTGGATTTAGATTGATCCCACTGTTCTTCCTGTACCTGTTTCTAATTTTGTGAAACTCAGTTCTTTGTACTCAGAATTCTGTCTATGAAAGGCTGCCTGCCTCTTTCTTCAGATACTTAGCCTAGAAGCAGTTTATCTGGCCACTGTCTCCTGGTGCATGTTCTCTTTCAAGAGTGGAACTAATAATCATCCACGGTCATGGCTCTTGCGCCGCGGGTAGGAAATAGTTTACTACAGCGTTAGTACCTCACTTGATAGCTCTGTGCCTTACCCATTCCTGGAAAACATCTTTTACAGTTGATTCAGAAAATGGAAACAAATTAAGTGAGTGCAGATTTCAGGCAGTTTAAAGTCACTTTAGCCCTGGCCGGTTTGGCTCAGCGGTTAGAGAGACCCGGGTCTGGTTCCTGCTAAGGACACGTACCTCGGTTGCAGTTTGTCCCCCTGGCCCTGGTTGGTCATGCAGGTAGCAGCCACTCGATGTGTCCCTTTCATGTCGATGTTTTTCTCTCTGTGTTCCTCTCTCTCCCTCCCACTCTACCCGAACAAAAAGTAGAAAAGTGTCCTCAGATGAGGATAAAAAAAATAGAATAAAATAAAATTAATTTATATGGACTAGGAGAGGCTAATCTTCATAGATACTCTCAGTTCAAGAGTAAGCCCAAAACTTCATGAAATTCATTTGATTGTGGCTCTTTCCCAATGTATTCAATATCATCAGATGTGCTTGGTGGCAGATTCTGAAGTAGAAATCCAAGCAGGTACTGAGTATAATACAATTTACATGTGAGCCAATTATTTTTAGAGAAAAGATTAATTAAAAGAAGTGGTAGGTTAAAAAAAAGAAGAAGAAGAAGTGATAGGTTAATTTAAAACAAGCAATGCCACCCCTCTATGCTGAGTTTAAATCTTGACCCATTTTTGTCCTCCTAGATACAGTATAGAAATGTGCATTGAATAAAACTGAGTTAAGAATCACCTTCTAGGCTTTGAACTAAATCTTTCACAGTAACAGACACTCTTTACTTAAGCTCATTTCACGTAGTGTATTTAATAGCATCAATTTTCTTTAATATTATTATTTTTTAAATCGTTACCTAAGGATATGTTTTTATTGATTTTTTTAGAGAGGGGAGAAGGGGGAGAGAGACAAACATCAATGTGAGAGAGAAACATTGATCAGCTGCCTCAAGTACTTTTGTTCCCCAACCAGGATTGAACCCTGTATGTGCTCTGACCTGGAATCGAACCTGCCGCCTTTTGGTGTAAGGGATGATGCTCCAACCAACTCAGCCACCTGGCCAGGGCTAATAGCATCAATTTTAGTGAATAAGGGGTATCTTTTACATGTGAGAGAGCTGGGGGCAGTAGGTAGAAGAAAGTGCATCCCATAATCTCCTCTCCCTTCGCACCCATTCACACAGTGCACATTGCCCCCATTTATTTTTTTTGCAGGCACACACACTATGGGGTACAGCTTTGCAGTACATTTCTGTAGTGATTGTGACAAACTTTGATAAATAGCCCAGCTGACAACTAAGTTTATCTTGGAGCAGAGAATAGCATCTAGGGAGAAGGGGCTGTTACTCTCCCTATCCAGAAAGTCATCTCTGCACATGGGACACATTTTAATAAGGAGCACTGTGGAAGGAAAAGAATGTATTGCTTATTTATAGCATCCTTTCTGTTTTTCTTCTTTGTTCACAGAGACTGAAAGAATTAAAGCAACGGGAATTTGCTCGAAATGTAGCTTCCAAGTCATGGAAAGATGAGAAGAAACAAGAAAAAGCACTTAAAAGACTTCATAAGCTGGCTGAGTTAAGGCAACAGTCAGAATGGTAAGAATTAAAGGTATCTCAAATTGCTCAAAACTCTTCAACCTCTGGGGAAATTTCAATGATAAATGTACTTGGTTCGCTGAAACAACATAAACAAATTATAATTAATCAACAAATATGTCTGAGGGCAAATGTTCCTACCAGTTAAATGTTTATAAATTAATTACTTTGGCATCTGATTTTTTTTCTTTCCTAATATAATTAATTCAATGTGCTCTTCAATGAAATGATCCAAGGATGATTCTAATATGCTACATGTATTATATCCAGTTCATTTAAATGGACCTACATAGCTTTTTTAGTAATTAAGTCTTATAATAACAATTTTAAAAATCATAAATAACAATGCATCATTTTGGGGAGGAAATAAATCTCCTGTACATGTCCCTGTAAATACCTGCATCTAGAATAAATGATACTATCATTATCTGAACAAATAAGATATAATTAATACAGTTAAATTAACCATTTAAATTGATTATTATAATAAGGATACACTAGCACATTATTACAATTGAAAAATAGAAGTCTTACATAAGCTTGGAACTGCTGAATGTTTCCAAGTAACAAGACTGTTACCTGAAACTCAATAAAATTTGAAGATTTTAATTTATGTTTATATGAATCATAATGTAGAACACTAATATAGATAATTAATGTAGTTGACAACAAACTGGTGAATTGTGAAATTTATAGATTTGTACCAGAATTTAAACCTCTGTTGTTTAAGTGACAAGCAATATAGATGCTAAATGAAATAAGCCAGTCAGAGAAAAACAAATACCATATGATTTCACTTATATGTGGAATCTAATGAACAAAGTAAACAAGCAAACAAAAGAGAAACAGACTCATAGATACAGAGAACAAACTGACAGCTGTCAGAGGAGGGGGGCTCTGGGGGGCTGAGTGAAAATGGTGAAGGGATTAAGCAAAGAAAAACCTCTTACATACAGACAACAGAATGGTGATTACTACAGGGAAGGGGGGTGGGGCAGGTAGAAGAGGGTAAAGGGAGTGTAAATGGTGAAGGAAGGAGACTTCACCTTGGGTGGTGAACAGACAATACAATACACAGTATTATAGAACTGTATACTTTAAATCTTTATAATTTTATTAACCAATGTCACCCCAATAAATTCAATTTAAAAAAACTGAAAGGCAATATACAATAATCTTGGCAATAAATGCCTCCATTATAGTACCATAAAATATTAAACCTCAAATTTGATTATAAAAATATTTATTTTTAGGTTTAGCTAGGAGTAACAACACAGTACTCAGTCTGAACATATATATGTATTTATACATGAGTTATCTTAGGATAATGTACATTATGAAAATACATAAAATATAATCACGTTAAAAATAAGTGAGAAATCTGGAATGAAGGAAAATTGAAGGTTGGAGAAGCATGTATCCAGAGGTGAGGTTAACACAGGAATGCATGCTATGAAGTCACAGAAACAGAACACATATTTGGTATTAGGCTTTTTACTTTAAAACACACTGAGGGTCTTGAAATATGTTATTTGAACCCATTGTAAATAAGATATTAGGCAGTCCTTGTCAAAACAGAACGTAGAAAGAAACATCTAATGGTTATTATGGTAGCTTGCAGGAAAAAAAAAATCTAAGTTAAATGTTAATTCCTGGGTGATTAATTATGAGGTGCCATAACCCAGACTACATAAAAAAGAACAAGGTTCACTATAGAGAGACACCTTTTAGAAGGATCCTTTAAGGGCACACAATAGAAAATCCAAGTGGTGATAATAAACATAATATTGGTTCTTTTTTTTATTATGAAAGTTGTGATACTTCTCTATTTCTGCTCACTCATTCCTTATTTCCTTTTGAGAGAAATAAACAAAGGCACAGAGGATCCTTGATAATGATGATGATGATGGTGATAGTGAGGATGGTTTTATTTAAAAGTTCTAAGTTTGCAGACCTACCCATTGTCTTTCAAATTAAAACAAATGAAAAAATCCACCCTATTAAGGTTAGCTGTCCCTCTGGAAATCTTATTCACTGAACAAATACAAACCTAAGCACAACCTCTGTAGAGTAGGCAGGCCTAGATTCCCCGATTCATATTGTAGATGTTCAGCTTTCCAGTTACAGAACTTGGGAACTAGGAAAAGTATGTCTTTTTTTTACTACCCACCATCTGCCTTCCAGACAATTTTTTCACTCTGCTTAAGCTGCCTCATGGCCTAAGAAAAGTCACTTATTAGAATTATTAAATATTTTCATTTTGGCAACTGAATAGACAAATGAAAGTAAGAAATAAAATGGAGAAAAAATCACCCAGCCCTGGCCAGTTTGGCTCAGTAGTTAGAGCATCAGCCTGTGGACCGAAGAGTTGCAGGTTCAATTCTGGTCAAGGGCACGTACCTCGGTTATGGTTCGTCCCCGGCCCTGGTCACGGACGTGCTGTAGGCAACCAGTTGATATGTCTCTCTCACATAGGTATTTCTTTCTCTCTCTTTCTCTATACCTCCCACTCTATCTGAAGATAAATGGAAAAAATATCTTCAGATGAGGATTTTTAAAAAAAATCACCCATAGTACTGCTCTCCAGGACAATTTTCTTTGTCCTTTATTCTCATAATGAGGGCTTCTAAGTAGAATGATATAGATAACACAAAGATTTTTTCATGATCCCATTGAAAAGAGAGGTGAGTTTAATAGTAGTAAGAATATCTGTATTAGACTGATTTTTAAAATGATGGCAGAAATTGCTAATGGATCCTATGAAAGGCAGTCAGTTTTGGTCATCTTTGGGTAGTTCAACCCAACTTGGTTTCTCAGCAAGACCAGTTATTGTGTGCAGGGAGATCCAATCAGTTTGTAAACTATGTGTGTAAGCCTAAGTCTAGTGCAGCCTGTGTGGATATTTACCCAAATTTTAGGAATTTAGGACCACTGTTTCTGAGAATATAAAGTTCCTTATATAAGAACTAAATAATGTGGGACTTGGAAAATTATATCATGTAAAGAAATTACCTTATTTTGTTTCCTGTATGGAAAGTATAATTTTTGCACAAGAGAGAAATAAATTATGCATTTGTTGAGTTGCCACAAATTAAAATTTTTGGAGAACTTTTGGAATGGACAATCCATTAATAAGAATTAAAGGGCTACCTCTACAGTCATATTTTTATTATAAATTATTAGGTCAAAAAGCAGACAGACACTAAAGAAAATTCTAGAGGAGGAAGTAAAATTATAAATGAGGATATAACTATAAAAATTAAACCTTTAGCCTGGCTGGTATGGCTCATGGTTGCACATCCACCCATGCACCAAGAGGTTGCTCGTTCAATTCCCGGTCAGGGCACATGCCCAGATTGTGGGCCCAATCCCCAGTGAGAAGCAGGCAGGAGGTGGCCAGTCAATGTTCTCTTTCATCGATGTTTCTCTCGCTCTCTCCCTCTCCCTTCCTCTCTCTCTAAAATTAATAAAGAAAAAATGTTTTTTAAAAAATTAAACCTTTAATTATAAGGCATAAGCTTGCATTAAAATAATAGAATTTAAAACACCACAAAGACAGAAAATTATGATTTTCCAAAATAATAAAAATCATTAGATTTAAGATAAAGGAAATTAAAGTTTATAAAGCAATGAGATCAAAAGTTTAAAACACAAAAATAAGGACAAAATAATAATGAAGATTTAACGTTAAAACTTGTGAAAAAATGATAAGTGTACATTGAATAGTAAAGTGAGCACAAAAATTAAGGACCAGAAAAGCCAAATATACCACATAAACAATACGAGCAAAGAGCTTTAAAAATGTTTAAAAAAGAAAGAAGATTGCACATTAGAGAGATAAATGGTAAAATAAAACAGCAATAAAAAAAAGAACATTTAGACTAACATAAGTTAAAGCAAGAAAATGCACATAACAGTGCCAGCATAATAAAAATATTATTAAGGAAAATATATAGAAAGAATATAAAAGTAGTAAAGTATCTGCATCATAATGGAATCAGGAGAGGTAGAATGATAATATTTATACATCAAGCTTTTGGAATAACTTCTACTAAGTTTAGTGCGGATACTATCAGATTGAATGAAGTTCCTGGAGAAGTTAACTTAATACAGAAATATAGCTCCTACTTAATCCAAAGTGTGGCTACAAATACAGAAAAGAACCTCTTTGGCATTTGGGCAAAATTTAGCATGGCAGACGTTTTTGCACCTCATCCTTCTATTCCCCAGGCTGCAGGCATTTTAAAAGACCAATAACTATAATAAACCAATATGCTTCCTATTTTCCATTAGTTAAAAAAAAATTCAATGACCCATACTTCTTAGAATATTTCTCTTCATTCCTCATGATAAATATGCATAAATACCCTCGCTAAAGAACATTTTTTAAAAAGACTCAAAAAAGGAGATTAATGTGATAAAGAAGAGAAAAATGTTTATTATAAAACAGCTACGGTAAGAAAAATAATAATAGTTTTATAAAATTTCAAAATTTAGTTTTCACAAGATTCAAGGAACACTATAACTTTGAAGTTATAGCCATTAGTTTATAAAGAGAGGACAATCTGAAGTTATTAAAGAATAGTGGCTGAAATTATTGTTTTTAAATTAAAATTCATATGGACATAGTAAACAACAATTGGACATTGTAAAATTTTCCATCAGTAGAAATTAAAAACAAGAAATTATTTCTGAATTAGAAAAAAAGATTAAAGACACCAGAGTACTGAGATAAATAATAAGACCTAAGACATATATTCAGGAGAATCAATAAATTTAACATGTAAATTCCGGGACAAGAAAACAGGACAGGGAAGATACAATAATCAGAAATATGAGCAGAAGTGTCTGAGCTGAATAAAGTTGAATTGAAAGTCTCCAAAGTACTAGCAGAATTTAACCCAAAGAAATCAGTCTGTAACTATGGTCTGTTAAAATGCTATGGATATATGATTTATTTTATGTTATACATGTAACAAAAATATACTTATATTAAAGTATTATGTTAATAAAAATGAACAATTATAAAATCATACAAATGCTCAAGCAAATTTATTTCAGAAATGAACAAAAGGAGGCTGATTAAATATGTCTCTGCAATAGTAACCATGTAAAGAAAATGAAGCAAAGGACATGAAACTTGGTGGGCAAAAGAAATGGGACTCCAGAGTTCCATGCTGATTGGCCAAATAGTCCTAAGTGAGGGCAATCAGAAAGAATTTCTTAGACTAAGGGCTTCAAAAGCACTACTCTCCATTAGAATTTAACTGCCTGCGGAAAAGAGATCAGTTGTTTTAGTATTGTATACTTCAGCGACAATGACAATACAAGTGAAATAAAATTATAAAATAGTAAAAAACAAGCACATGGAAAAGGAAAATGAAGAAGAAAGGCAGCTCAAAGCAAAGCATCAGGTAATCAATGTGATTTGTATGTGGTCCGCCTGGTAAGGCTTTGTTTTGTAGCAGAGGTTTAAAGGTAGAACATGAAAGAGACACTTTAAAGCTGGAGGGTTTCATCTTTTATATATATATTTCTGTTTCCCATTTTCTAGCTGAATTACCAATTAAGCTCAATAAAATGAGTAATCTTTTCAAAGCTACTAAAAGACAAAAAATATATATGCACAAAAGGTAGAAAGAAAATATTTTGGTAAGAAGCCAAAGAAAATATTTCAAGATAATTGAAGATACTGAGATTGCATGTAAATGTGTGTTCCTTTATTATTCATTTATTATAATTAGTCAAAATAGTGATAAGTCATAAAGAAAGAACTAACCACTCTGCTTCAAAAGCAAGCAAACATGAAGGCATTTTAAAACCAAGAAAACAACAATTTTAAAATGCTGGAACTTATACAATAAAACAAATTAAAGATATATTTTTATACATTGAAAGTGACAATTCCATTTAATTTTATGTTTAATCTGAAAGCACTGATTATAAAACTCTCTGGGGAAAGATATTAAATCTATATTCCAAAAATTGATGTGCTCTGGAGGATATATATTGTAACATAAATGTAATATTTTATTTTCTTTGTCAGCCCTAGCATAAGATATTCACATGCTATTGCTTTTTGCTAATTTCAAAAGAATATGCTTAAATGATGCAATTTAAAAATAGACACTATGAAACATAAATATACTGAGTCATAAGCACAGTGAAATGGTTATATTACAATAGACAGAATTCACAAATGGTAGGATAACCCATCATAAAAACACTATGAAATGTTCACGTATGGATAAGATTTCAAGTCTAATGTTTTAATCATTTTAATATTTATTGTATTTACAGTGTTTCTGGAAATGGACCAGCGTACAAAGCACCCAGGGTAGCCATAGAAAAACAACTCCAGCAAGGAATTTTCCCAGTTAAGAATGGAAGGAAAGTATCGTGCATGAAGGGTGCTCTTCTCCTTAAAGGAAAGAACCTCTCCAGGAGCATTTCAGATAAACAGCGGTCTACCATGCCCAGTCGACACCAGTTACAAACAGACAGACTTTATTTGTTTGGGAAGCGGGTACCACAAACATCGTCAGATCTCACTAATGCAGATCACCGGACAGGAGTATCCTTTTCTTTTTCCAAGAAAGTGCATGTAAAATTAGAATCTTCAGCATCAGTTTTTAGTGAGAACACAGAAGAAACCCATGATTGTAACACCTCACACTTCTATAAAGCAAAACAAACTGTGGAAAAATGCAAGTGCCGCAGGTTTGCAAACGAGGGTGCACACCTCTCCAAGGAAGAAGATATAAACATCTCATCAAGCCATCTGGAAAGTGTTTTACACAAAAGCTTCTCCATAAGCTCTCAAATTTTGCAAGACAAAAATGACTCTATCAAAACATTAGAAGATTCGATTGGCATTCATGCTTCATTCTCTAAATCTAACACTCATCTTTCAGATGTGAATTTTACTCCTTCCAGTAGAGAAAAAGAAACTAGAAATACATTGAAGAATGTTTCAGAAAATATCATGAATCATGCATGCCAAGCAAACGCTCCCTCCAGCCCACCAAACATTTACAAGTGTAGTGATGCCAGGATATTTGAATGTCTGGATGAGTTTCCATCACTAGAGCCAAGTGAGCAAAACAATCCAGTGCATCTGAATTCCAGAAAGGAGAGGAGAGAAAAATCCTCAGATGAAACACAGAGAGTTAGCAAAAATGTGCAAAGGCTCCTCAGAGAAGCATGCTCCCATGATGGGAAGTCCAAACCATTGCCTTATCTCCACGTACAAAGCAAGGATGGCCACACCACTCTCCAGTGGCCTACCGAACTGCTGCTCTTTACGAAAACGGAGCCCTGTATCTCTTATGGCTGCAACCCATTATATTTTGACTTCAAGATTTCTCGGAACACACAGAATGGCCGTGATCCAGAGGACTTAAAAAGAGAATTGATTAAGGAGCCCTTAGGAATGAAGACCAAATTACAGAGCCAAGTCTCAGGTTTACTCCAAGACCAACACAAATTGATCCAAGAAGATAATCAAGCTCTGAAACCAAAGATGATGACAGCTAATCCGGATTGGGAAAATTCCCAGAGAAAATATAATTTCAGATACAGTGATTCTGAGCCAAACCTGAGTAAACACAATTTTAGTGCCAGTGATTTAGAAATGAAAAATCCTGAAGTGCCTGCTTACCTTGACATCTCTCTGAAGAACTGTGTAGGAAATAATAATAATAGCGATAAAGAACTTAAGAAACCTTTAAGGGCCCATTGGCAAAGCTGCCAGAAGGTAGTTCTAAATGATGCGAACGAGGGCCTGACTTTTACTCCTTACATCCCCAGGACTAAAAAGCATAAACTGATTCCTTGTGATCCTCATTCAGATTATGAAGACACAAATCAATTCAGTTGGAATTCTAGTCCTTACACAGCAAGGGGTCCCAGTGACCCAGAGCAGGACTTCAGTGTGGTTTTGGATAGTAACCACATCAGTGTGACCAGCGGGGTGGCTGGATGCAGAAATCGAAGATACAAGAGAAGTGCTCCAATGGTGTCTCTGGATAGACCTCCAAGCCCTTCAGACACATCCCCTGACAGCACAGCGAGCATGAGAAGTACCTGTTCAAGTGACAGGTTGATTGGCCATGGCAGAGGTAACTTGCTCTACTTTTGTGAAAGAGAACACAGCTCAGCCAAGAGACGCAGAGGGAAACTCCGAAAGCACAGCTGCCGCCTGCCAGGCGGGGGAGCCGAGAGTGCCGGGCTGCGGTCCGACGCACAGACAGATAGGAACTGCCGACTGTGGGAATCGTTTAACAATGAAAAATACTCAAAACATAGGTATGGTCACTGCAGAGAGAGAGAGAAACTGGGCAAAAATCAACAATTTCCAGGGCCAAAATCCAGGAGAGTTACCCAGTGTGATACTAGCTCACAGGTTTTCTGTGCTGGGAATAATGGAAAACCATCTGCGTGCCAGGGACCTCAGCACAGCCAATTGGGTTCTTACTCAAGAGAGAGCATTTATTACTTAAATAAAAGTGCAAGAAGTCAACAGTCTTTGCACAGCCCTCACATTTGTGATCTGGGAAATGTAAAAGCCCTGCAGTGTAACCCTGGGAATACCAGCTGTCTTCTCAGGAATTGTTCCAGCCACCCTTCCGAAACCACAGAGTTCAACTTTACAGAAGGAGAGAAGACCCCCGTGACAGCCAAAAGCCTTTTAGAAAGAGTTCAAGCCAAGAAGTGTCAGGAACAATCAGCTAATTTTCCGGGCTCTTCAAATAGTTGTAAAAATGAATCAGAGGCTCATTCACAAATCCAATGCACAATTCAGTTTACACCACCAGGCTGCAACAGACCAGCATTGCCTTTGTCTGAAAAAATACAAACCCCAAGTAAAAGAAATAATGACAGAGGCAGTGTAATTCAAAGAACTATTGAGAAAGACAAAGTCAACAGTTCACAGACAAATAACTGCACTGTTTTGGTAGACACTGATTGTGATAACTATCTTTCTAAAGGTATAATTCACATAGCAGAGTCTCAGTCACTGAACATGAAAAAGAACCCAACAACAAAAGAACAATCAACACCTTTAGTAAGTGAAGTCCAACCTTATATTCAAAGCTGTGATCCAGTACCAAATGATTTCCCTGGTGCTTTTCCATCTAATAGATATACTGGTGTTACTGATTCAACAGAGACCAAAGAGGACCAAATACATCTAAACTCACAGGATGTAAGCATGCATACGAATTGTGCAGAGGGGAATACAGACCCTTACTATGACAAAACTATGCAGAAGCATGACAAAGTAGCAGATGAATTAGAATTATGTCAGAAACCTATCTCTTCCCCTTTAGTTCAACAGCCAGTAACATTTTCTCCCGATGAAATAGATAAATATAAGCTCCTCCAGCTACAAGCCCAGCAGCACATGCAGAAACAGCTCCTATCAAAGCACCTGCGGGTTTTGCCAGCTGCAGGGCCTGCTGCCTTCTCTGCAGCCTCCGCTGTGCAGACAGTCCCAGTTCACCAGCACTCGTCTTTCACCACCATCCACCACACGTTCCTGCAGCATTTCTCTGTCTCTGCTTCTCTAAACTCCCAGAGCAATCACCTCCCTGTAGCTCACCTACATCCTCTTTCGCAGTCACATTTTACTCCATTCACATTTTCACCACTGACCCCAGCCTTTATCCCCGCACACCCCACTTTCATGGCAGGTCGTCCCCTGCATTTAGTCACCCCGGCCCCCTTCCATCCATCTCACATAGCACTTCAGCCCCTGCCCCCTGCAGCGTTCATCCCCACGTTGTTTGGCCCTCACTTGAACCCAGCCACAGCCTCAATCATCCACTTGAATCCTTTCATTCAACCGGTGTTTCAAGGTCAAGAGCTTTGCCATCATTCTTGCTCCAGTCAGATGCAACAGTTAAATGGAGTGAAAGAGGCCTTAAATGTGTCAGCGCACTTGAACTGATGTGTTCAAGCCTCTCTTGGGGATGAATGAAACAAATTGTCACTACCTGCAAAAAGATATATTTAAAATGTTTATCTGATTCTTATCAGATTTAAATATTGATGCCAATCCAAAATGTGACCAATTTATAAATAAGAACTGAATTGCCAATATTGAAATAGCATTTTAAGAATTTCTTTTAACTTGCAAAAATATTAGGACAAATCTCAAACAATTTTATGGAAAGAGAGAGGGGAATGTGTTAAAGATGAGTTTTGAATGAATTCTCACATATTATAAAATAATAACAGAACATTCAGGCAGATCATTAATGTTACAAAGAAAATCAAATGGAACATAAACCACATGCTCTAGGTGTTTGTTGAGTGAGTGACCGAATGAATGCACATTTGGTTTTATTCATCAGTTAATAATAAAAGGTCAGTAAAAATTAATTATTAAAAATAATAAATGTTATGGTTAACTATTAACTAAGCTTTCAATTTATATAATCTGTTTCAATCAATATAATCTATATTTTCACAGGAAATAAGAGAAGGCAAAAAATTTTCTGATTAATTGAGAGTAAAAACCACTTTTCAATGAAAAACAATCTTGACACCAATTATAGTAGTGAGTGTCTGTGGAAAATGGTGTTGTCTTGATTTCACACATATTTATGTCCAGAGAATTTTGTAACTGTAAGAATCATCAGCATCTAAAATTAAGAATGTTTAATTTTTGTATGAGAAAACATATCAAAATTACCATTAGTATTTGATAATGAGAAATAAGATACTCAGAATAACACTATTAATATATTGGTCAATCTTTTAACTATTAAAGGGACTCAATATGGTTTCTTTCTTTTTCTTCTCAGAAATGATGTTACTGTGTTCAGTGTGTGTGTGTGTGTGTGTGTGTGTGTGTATATATACACACATATATGAAGAGGTAAAGATCTGTAAATGTCAGAATTTTTACTTGCTATTTACTGAAAAAATGTTAAGCATTTGGTGTGTTTTATTCAATTGTACTAGATAGTTATAAAACAGTGAATGATGAATAAAATCATCATTCATATAATTTTGCAAAATATGCTAAATATTCATTCAAAATGTTTTCTGGCTTCACAGAATTTGCATTTCTTACATTTATATGTTTTAATGGTTCACAGGTTTGGTTTATTATTTTATACTCTTAAAATGAAAAAAACAAAAACAAAAACTTGTACATTCCCCACAAGCATGGGTTTTGGAGAAGAAATCACACCAAACAGAAATGGAGGTGGTCAGTCATCCTCCACTGTGTATTATGATGCAAACTCTTCTATCACTAGAAGATAAGAGAAGTATCTTATTCAACCATGGCTCCAGGAGGAAGAGAGCTATACTTACTGAAGATCTATTATGTGTCAAGAGAGTCAGGCTGAGCACTTCGTCCACATTATCTCATTTAAATTTCACAATTGTATTCTTTTCTGAACAAACATTTTATTTTTAATATTTACTTTTCAGTTAGTATTGACATAGAATATTATATTAGTTTTAGGTCGTACAACATAGTGATTATCATTTATGTACCTTATGAAGTACTCACCCTAATGAGTCTACTAACCATCTGATACCATACATAATTATCACAATATTATTGATTGTATTCCGGAGGCTGTGCTCTTCATCCCATGACTGTTTTTATAACTAGCTATTTGTCCCTCTTAATCTCTTCTCCTTTTTCACCCAGCCTCCTCACATCTGGCAATCATGAATTTGTTTGTATCTATGAGTTTGTTTCTTTTTTGTTCATTTGTTGTTTTTTAGATTGCACATATAAGTGAAATCATATAGTTTTTGTCTTTCTATGTTTGACTTATTTCACTTAGCATAATATCCTCTAGGTCCATCCATATTGTTGCAAGTGGTAAGATTCCAGTCTTTTTCATGATTGGGTAATATTTCATTGTCTATATGTACACTTCTTCTTTATCCATTTGTCTATTAAGTTGCCTTTATATGTTGGCTATTGTAAATAATGCTACAACAAACATAGGAGTGCATATATTCTCTTAAATTAGAGTTTTGGGTTTCTTTAAACAAATACCCCAAAGTGGGATTTGGGGGTCATATGGTATTTCTATTTTTAATTTCTTGAGGAATCTCCATACTATTTTATATAGCGGCTGCACCAATTTACAATCCTGCCAGTAGTGTACAAAGGTTTTCTTTTCTCTACACCCTCTCCAACACTTGTTGCTTTCTTGATGATAGCCATTCTGACAGATGTGAAGTGATAGCACATTGTGATTTTAATATGCATTTTCCTGATGATTAGTGATACTGAGCATTTATCATATGTCTATTGCCCATCTGTATGTCCTCTTTGGAGAAATGTCTGTTCAAATCCTTTACCAAATTTTAACTTAGATTATTTGTCATTTTGGCATTAAGTTGTATGAATTTCTTATATATTTTGGATATTAACCCCTTGTCAGATGTATCATTGGCAAATATTTTATTCTATTCAGTAGATTGTTTGTTTAGTTGATGGTTTCTTTTGCTGTACAAAATCTTTTTAGTTTGATGTAGTTCCATTTGTTTATTTTGTTTGTATCCTCTGCTTGAGGAGATACAATAATAAAAAAAAAATACTACTAAGAGAAATGTCAAAGAATTTACTGCCAACCTTTCATTCTACAAGTTTTATGGTTTAGTCTTACATTTAAATCTTTAATACATTTTAAGTCTATTATTGTGTATGGTATAAGAAAGTGGTCTAGTTTTACTGAAGAGACTGTCTTTACCCCATTGTACCTCCTTTGTCATAGTTTCAGTTGACCATACAGGCATAGGTTTATTTCTGGGCTCTCTATTCTTTTCCACTGATCTATGTGTCTGCTTTTATGCCAGTACCATGCTATTTTGGTTACTATAACCTTGTAGCATAGTTTAATATTAGGTAGCATAATACCTCTAACTTTGTTCTTCTTTCTCAAAATTCATTGCCTGGTGCAACTATTTTTTGAGATCATTGTTATCATTCCTCTGTGTTGATGAAGGGAATAAAATTCAAAGGTTAATTTTTTAATACTTGGAAAATAGGAGAAAGCATCTCTGATGCTGGTGAGAAAAAGATGAAGAGAAAAAGAGAGGGGGTGGAGGGGGGATTTGAATTTTAACATAAAAGATGTAGTTTCCTGGATACCACCAGAAACTTGTTAGATGGGAATTTTCACTTGGATATAGCAGGAAAAAAATCTAATTTATCTAAAGGGAATAGAAAAATGGAGAAAGACATCAAATAGCAATAACTTTATTCTTGCATTGACCTTTAAAAAATGATTATAAAACAACCCTGATAAAACTGAATGAATTCAAAGGAAGTAAAATAAATAAAGTATTTCTTATAAAAATAGATGACAAATATTCCAGCACGTAAAAAAGAATGTGGATGACTGTTCCCTAAAACAGGTTACAAAGTTGACATAGAACCAAGACAGGGTAATTATGGAGAACTCACTAGAAGTCCTATTAATTTTTTATAATTGTCTTTGTGACAATTTAATCTCTTAGAAGTTTAGTCCAGAGAACCTCTACTTGGCACTAAATTTTGACTAACAAAGATAGATTGAATTGATAGCATGGAAATGACTGTCTTGTATTATCAGGGATGAAAATGTTACTAGATATACTATCTTGAACTATGGGAAAGCAAATTTCACCATTTAAACAAAAGATAACTTGTACTCCAGGGTGGGAAATTGTAAAAGTTTTGGCATCACGAGGAAATCTACAATTATGGAAGAGTCCAATGAGGTGGCAAAATGTAATCCGTTAAACAATCAAATATAAATTGAAAAGGGAAAGTATTTAGAGTAATTGTTGTGTGTCATACATCCATAAATAGTAACATAACAGATACACATCAAAATGAACAGATATTAGTTTAATGTCTTTTTAATATCCCATTTATTGGGAAAATCAAAAGAAGTTGACTTTTTGCTTCTAATCATTGCTTACAGCTAAGGGCAAATAATCTAATGAAAAAAAAATATATATAGTGTTACCTAAATCTGATTTCATATTACTTTTCCTTTCCTATAAAAGAAAATTCTTTATTGAGGACATTGTAAAAACAACATATAAGAAAACTGGAACATATAGGGCAAATTATTCCCTGGCCACTTCAAGTGAATGTGAATCTTCATACTTAGAAGAATTTTACAAAAGTGGGTTTCATGACACCAATTGTCCTTGTGAAAACATGCAGAATGGGAGAAGTTAGAAAAAAAAATCTCTACTTTAATAATAGGAGGAATATTTTATTTAAAAAATTTATTGATTTTAGAAAGAGAGGAAGGGAAAGAGAGAAAGAGAGAGAGAAACATCGATGAGAGTGAACATCGATTGGCCACCTCCTACAAGCCCCCCACTGGGGATTTGGCCCACGATCTGGGCATATGCCCTGACCAGGAATCGAACCAGTGACCTCTTGGTACATGGGTCAACACTCAACCACTGAACCACACTGGCCGGGCTTTTAAAAAACTTTTTTTTTCTTTATTGATTTTAGAGAGAGAGGAAGGGAGAGAGAGAGAGAGAAACATCAATGAGAAAGAACATTGTTAGGAGGAATGTTTTATATAAATATTACTGATTTATAGATAGAATTTTAAGCAGAATGGTCTAATGTAAAAGGGAGAGACAATCACTGGCAACTATAACAGTTTTACTAAAAACAAATAGTACAAAAATGAAAGTATTTTATGTTTCACTTATCTACTTTATTTTCTTTCTCATTCATTCAACAAATAATTATTAAGGGCCATGAGCTAGGCAATTATATAATTGCTGGAGATATAATAATAATGAAAAAACAAAAAAATATTGCCATTGGTAATTTAATTCTAGTTGAGTCATGAAGACAAAAAGCAGGACAAGTGAAATATATATCAGATGATAAATGATGTTGTGGGAAATGAGCAAGAAAGGCAAATTAAAGGGATCAAGGGGGAGTAGTGGGTA